TGTTGAAAATTACAATTTATAACTAAATCATGTAGGAGTATAAGGTAAAATTCAAATTTGTGAAGTGCAGTTCATGGCAAAAAGTAGGTCAAAGGTCAAATTCAAGGTCACAGGAAGGCTGTCAATATATGAGTTCCTATTCTAGTTCAATAGTAACTACGGGCATATATCTCTGCTAGTTTTGGAGATATATATCTCTGCCAGTTTTGGAGATATAAGGGACGGAAATGTTGCAAAGTTTAGTTCATGTTGAAAAGTAGGTCAAAGGTCAATTTCATGATACATGTACAAGGTAGAATTTTAATCTTTGGTGTTGCTACCTGATACAAGTACTGTAATTTTCTCTAGTTGTACTGTTTTATTTGCACTCTTTGACATGGTAGTCCATAACTTGTTTAGAAATGAACATGCTATTCCATATTTTAGATTGTAAAATATTTGGAGTGTTATAAATCCAAAATATTCCAAAGTAATTATTTTAGGGTCTGCTAACTTCATACATGTACATGTAGTCCTCTTATTGCCAGATAAAATTTTATCACTGACTTATAAATGAGGAGAGCAACAGACTTCGGACTAATTTGTCTGAAGTAAAAAAAAGGGGGGAGGGTGTTTCAATTTGTCAACTTAAAAATGTGGGATGACTTTTGGATATATAATACTTGGTTCCTATTTGGAAGAGAAAATATGCAATCTGAGCATAGTTCTTATTGGAGTAGCTTTTAATTCAAGAATTTTTTATGGTTTTCGGCACCAACCAAAATATTTCATTTAAATTTATAATCGCCTCATAACTACGGTATCAACAAAGGTACATTCTCTAACAATCTGTACTCTCTGGATGAGGATCCTCCTCGATCCTGGTCTGCAGAGAAATATCAAATAAATAAAATGCCCTTAATTAAGATAATCGACTGCATGATTTTATACTAGTAGGGTTAATTGTTATAATTGCTAGTTAACGAATTGAATAGACAGGGTGATGACTTCACAAGAATTTTTACACCTTGGGTAAGAAAAGTAAAGGGACAAGGGTTATTATTTGGAGTTTGACAACTAATCTTACAGGTAGATAGATATATATGACCCTCTGGTGCACACATCATACTCAGGCTTGCTAGTATCTGTGTTTGAAGTGCCCCTACCGGTAGGTTTGGTGTGTGTTGCAAGTTCTGTGTTAATTGTGAGATTTTTGTGGGTTGTTATCGACTTTTTGTGTGTGTGTGTGTGTGTGTGTGTGTGTGTGTGTAAGTGTAGTAGTGTTGTGACTCTTGTTTTCTGTCCTTTACATTTTTCCATTACTACCCTTGGTACAGGTTGATTGTGATCTCATATGTTTCTTTTGCTTTTTTAAAATTCAAACAAGAATGATAAATGTTAAATATATAATATTATCAACTAGTACATATTTGAAAAATTAACTGCTTGCATATAATATAGTTACTCTAACACAAGAGCATAAATGTCTTATTGACTAAAATATAAATAGCAGTAATATAATGAAAGCAGTACAGCAAAAGAAAAATATATCATGTGGTTACCTTGACTGACTGCTGTCTGTCTGACTTGGGAAATCTGCAAAATCATAAATAAATTTGACACACAATTCAAACTTGTTAAAAGCATAAAAATGACAAAAGCACATCTTATCTGTAACTACATAGCAAGGTTGTCAAGTATACAGACACATATAAATTTTTATGATTTTATAGACAGTACATTGTACTCAGTATATATACTGTATTTTAAAGTAATAATTTCTGCAAATTAGAACATTCCCGCTGAGTGGTAGCCACCAAATTAAAAAGCAGGCTACTCTGTAGTTTTATTCTATGCAAAAGCACCAAATATGCCATATAGAAATTTCATTTAATCTAAACATTTTTGCCCACTGAAAAGATCTAATCATTACTCTATTTTTCCTCTCTTTGAGAACATTCCCAACAGAATAATGTTGGATTATAATGCATTCAGTTAACTAATGAAGCAGTTCTGCAGTTGCTCAAATTTTAGGGATCTGGACTGAATGTATATCAGAAAAAAAAAAAAAATTAAAAATTAAAAAATTCACCACATTCAATTTTTTTTCTGAAGATAAACACACTATTTTTAAGGCCTAATAACTAATTTTTAGTTGTATTTGGTAGAACCTATCATTATAATTTACACAACTGATCAAGATTGTAAAAAGGAAAACAATGCTATTTTACCTGTTGTTTGCTCTTCCAGTATGAACTGAGAAAGTCTTAACTATATAAAGAGAGAGAGAAAGAGTTAAAAGTTGGTGAAATGGTGTTTCTGTTAGTAATTGTCATTTTCCTTATCTTTATATACTGTCCAAAAAAGAAAGAAGTTTTTGTTTTTACCATAGTGCTTCAAATTACACAAATATGTACATATGTTAGTATAGTCACTGTATTCAATAGCAGAACACCATTTCAGTCCTGCAGTAGAGTCCTGAAATGCTTGAGTGATTTTAGACAGTGGCTGGCTCTGGGTTTTCAGAAATTTACTCTAAACACAAAAATTTAGCAAAAATCAATTATATATCCACTATCAATGCTAGTGGACACAGAAATCAGACAAATAAGTTTTGGAGACCAAATTCTATGTAGACATCATACAACAGCTGTCTGATCTGGACAGGGGCCATTCAATTGGTCATTGCCATTGACACAGTGTTATGGTTTGAGCGGGCGTAAGTGGTAGTTTCCAGACAGAACATATGGTGACTGCAGTGGTTGCTGGCAATGTTGACATCATGCCATGGCTGATCTAGACAGGATATGTGTCATTGCCCATTACCATTGGCACAGTGTTTTGGTTTAGATGGGAATTTTTCAGACAGAAATGGCAAGTTTCAGACAGAACTAACAGCCATTGCTGTGATGGATGGATATCTGGCTGGCCAGTGGTACAGAGATGAAGTCCTAAGGACAGCTTTTGTGCCATTTGTGTGTCAACACTTAACCCTCCAGCACGACAACGCCCATTACCATACTGCCAGGATAGCACAGGCTTACCTGCATCAGGGGGCAAATCCAAACTCTTCTGTGACCAGTGTTTAGAACTAACATATGTCTTCCACTGTGCGTGCCTAGGATGAACTAGGCATGCAGACAACTTCATAACAGCCAGCCTACGTCATTATAGAGTCAAGAGCTCACTGGTGGAAGAAAATTTTCCCATAATTCCTTTGGTTTGGGAGATTTTAGCATTTGATTTTGCCCATTTTGGACAAGGGTGCATTGCGACGTGTGCCACACCTAGACCTGTGCACAAGAAAGTCTAAAATTTATATGGAACGAGATGAGATTAAATGTAACAAAAATCCAACAGATGCGTACGCAGGCTCCTGTAGTCTAGGAAGAGAAGCAGTAATTAAGGGTGACATGGCGATGGAGTTAGTGGATATGGCAGAGCCAGCGGACGAGACGTGTCGGGACTAAAACCATGTGTACCGGCAGTGCCTACGCTGGTGGTACAATTAAAACAACCTACAACAAAAACTGCAGGAATGACGAAGCTGATATCCAAATTGGCCTAAATTGAACTATCAACCTTACTGTCAAAATTTTCTTTCATGATTTATAGTGGTGGCTAAAATGGAGCGACATACCATTGGGCTCTGCCTGCTGAGCGCTGTCACTTTCAAAAGATGAAGAATGCTCTTGTGTTGATCATTTAGCATATCTTGTAAGGAGACTTGGAAATTTGATAACTTTGTATCAATTCTTTGGCTTAGAACTTCATCTAAAATTATTAATTATCTGAATACAATTCTTTACAATTTACAAGTACAGAATAATTAACATGGGAAGACAAACTGGTATAACTTATGGGTAAACATACAAAGATTGTTTGTCTTGTTCCCATGAAATACTGCTGGTATCATGGTCCAATACTAGTTCATATATTTAACAGCCAAAAGCGCTGAAGACAGATTAGGTTTTATACATGTACCATCTACAGTGTATCTATTTCTATGACATATATATTTAAGTCAATTTGTGCTTGTGCAAACAATATAAATTGAGCAAATATGATCAAGTTAAATCATAGCTAGGCCACTGTCAAATGTGGCAAAAAATCAGTGTAGGCATTGGTAATTTATTCATATTTAAGACAATGCACAATTTTTTTTCAAGACTTCATCTTAAACCTAGCTTTAAAATTGGAAAGAAATGTCTATTTCCAATTAATTTCCATATATTATGTAACTCACCAAGCATAGATAAAACTTTTTCAGCAGAAATATCTAGTTTCTGGTTAACTGCAGCAGCATGGTTTAACGCACCAGGACATTCCTCTTCTTGATTTTGTTGTCCTCCAAGGCTGAAGAGTGCCTGCATGATTCCAAAATATAACTCAAATTAATTACGTACTGATGTGTCTATGAAATGGCTTAATAAAAATATATGAATGAAGAACAAAATAAGAGGATCAAAAAGACTTCAAAAGTTATCTCCTGAGAATGCACCTAGACAATGCAATTATAGGCACATTATAAATAGATGCAGTAGCACACACACACTAACCGCATTAACAAAATCTAACTGAGACCCTGAAATTGACCTTTGATCTACTTTTCACCATGAAGTCAACTTTTGTCTCTTATACCTCCAAAACTGTCAGAGATACGCTCATAATTACTATTGAATTTGAATAGGAAGTCCTATACTAGCAATCTATGACCTTGAAATTGACCTTTGACCTTTTTTCTTCATGAACTGAACTTTGCAAATTTTCCGTCCCTAGCTTATATCTCTAAAACTGGCAGAGATACGCCCATAGTTACTATTTTTCAGTATTATCATCTTCTCTTATATCTTTAACATCATAATATTGGAGCAATAAGTAATTCTCTGTTTCCTCTCTTTACCTGTGTACCACCATCCTGTGCATTACCCCAGAAACATCCATTACTCTGCATAGGGACTGAACTTTCTGCTGGGAAACTTCCATCAAGCAATGATTCATATCTTGAAAAAAGTTTTATAAAGGAGATAGAGACTAATGAATTACATCTGTGGCACTTAAATTAAAAATTTTGAACAATAAACAAGACAGAAAAGCTGTCAAATGTACAGACAAAAAGCAGAAAATAATGATACATAAAAAAGGTTATTTTGCCAAGTTTGATGCAATAAAACATTATGCTTAACAGAAAAATCAATGCCAAACATTAATTATGAACATATAGGGAATACAAATGTTAAGAAGCCTTTTCCATGGCTGTGGTACAATGTATGTCTATTGCATTAAGTATAATAAATGCTGCATAAAAAAAAAAAAAGAAAAAGGATAAGTTCAGGAATAATAGCAAACTCCACCTATACCCAAACCATAATCATCATGCAGTTCTATAAGTTTGAAGACAATAAGACAAACAGTTTTCCATGAAATGTGTTATCTGAATTGCATTTAGTATGATAAATGCTGCAAAAAAAAAAAAAAAAGCATAGTTTAAAAAAAAAAAAAAAAAAAAAAAAAGCATAGTTTCAAAAAAAAAAATGGTCTGATCGAGTTGATTTTTAAAAAAAATTAAATAACACTGATCACTTGTGTATTGCATATCGTTTGAATTGCATATAGTATAATATATGCTGAAAAAAATATTATGATACATGGGCGTAACCAGGCATACGCACGGATGCACTGTGCGTACAATTTTTTTGGTTAACCATGTTATTATTCTCTATAAGTTCAGTGTATTTTTCAAGGAATATAATCGAAAATCCCCTTCGGTTGTATGTTAACGTCACCTGAATGTACAAATCCTCTGTATTTGCACCAATGTTCTGACTCCCCTTCTTGTTTGCTTTCACAGAACTGAGTTAAACATCGTCCATCTAGCTGGGACTTCCGTTACCTCTTAATTAGAGGGTTAAGTGCCCTTCAGCTCTCTGGTAGCCTTTGTCTTGAGTGAATGGAACGCACTCTCGCTGCAGATATTTATCTCAGGTAAAAATCTACTTGTGTGTTATTTTCAAAGAACAGTTCCAGCAGACCTGGGGGCACTAGATAAAATCTGAACATCGGGCTAAACAAGGAGTCATAGAAACAAAGGGAGATTGATTTTTCCTGCAAAGCTTCAAAGAATTTTTACACGGACTTGATCCAGCTTAACCCTCCAAACTAACAGGGTGGCATGGGCAATTTTTACAATTACAAACAAATAATTAAACTTATACATATCAGAACTTTATCCTGTAATATAACTGGTTGATTTGGGGAGCCATGCATCTGCATGTAAGCTGAGAGATACCATAGAGTGTATACAAGTTCAACTTAGAGAAGCTGACCATGGATATCACAAAGTGGATAGCAAGAAGGCGTACATGTATATATAATAATAGTACAACGATCAACTGCTTTTGAGATCATTTTCTGAGAACTCAGGATAACTGCAGCAAACCACATTGAACAACACTACCGTACTGTTATTCAGAATTTAGCTCGATACAAGCAGGCACAATCTGCATAAGTGCCCAAAGTTGTTGTCAGTAAGCCCCTAGTTAAATAAATATACCGTTATGGGCAAGGCATTTCCCAGCGCACCATCCAGCCGTCTTTTGGACGGCCGCTGACATCACCAGACGGCCTATATTTTTTCAAAGCCGGCTTACGGCTTACGGATTTTATTTTATTTTATTATTATTTTTTTTTTTTTGAAAAATGACGTCTTTGCTTGTCAGGGTGACCATTGACGTTGTAAGAAATTTTATTACAGTAATTTGATGTACCCAGCTTTTATGATGCGTCACAGACTCACAGTTTTAACTGTGAGTCTGTGAGTCTTTAAAAATGGTACTACTTTTATTTGTAGTGCACGCTGATATTCAGTCACAACGAAACTACTTTTTTTTCTAACCCTCCCTCCCCATTGAAATTTATTATTTTTAATTTTTTTTTAATTTCATTTTTACTGCCCCCCCCCCCCCCTCCCCATTTTGGACAGCCTGTACCCCAATCCTGGAAAAAGCTTTGTTTCCGGGTGAAATAATGTAATGGAACTTAAATCGCCGGATTGTGTTTTACTTTAACTGATGATTTTATTTCTGGTGAAAACTGAGCTATGATATTTGGCACATTTAATTTTATCTGCCCTATATCTGTTTGGGTAAGTGTACATTTAGCCGTATCTGGGAATTTTGAAAATCTGTGCGCACAATTTTAAAAGGTCTGGTTACGCCCCTGTGATATAACAAATTAAGCTGGTTTTCCAACTTGAGCTGTGTGTCAATCATCTTCTTGTACATTACAAAATAAGAAGTAAAACAGTTTTCCTTTTATAGAGTTTGTGGTTGAAGCACACAAATTAGGTTTTTTGACAATTTTATAATTTTACATACTAATTAACAGCATAATCACCATCAATTTTAATCATCTACTATACCTAACACGGACAGTCAGAAAATGAAATTACAATTCCGTTTTAAGCCCCCTAAGTCCCACACTGAAAATGCCAATTAATATGTGAAAAATTAAATTTTCACAAAGAACTGCACTGCTTCCAGAAAAAATGAAATAAGGCTGGTTTTCCAACTGAAGCCGCATTTCAGTAATATGAATCTTTTCAGTAAGTTTGAGAATCAGTAGTAACCTGGTTTTCGCGTAATTACCTGTCCCTACAGCAGCAGTGCCCAAAATAAGGTTTTCTCCTACATTAATGCAATATTGCATAATGTTTAACAGCAAAATGACCATCAATTTTTTATAATCATATATAATTATCAAATATCATGGATATTCAGAAAACATGACAAGCAAAGATCTTCAAGCCCAAGTTCAAAGTCACACCTTGAAAATGCCAATAGGTGAAAAATGCAAATTTCATAAGAAAACTTTATAACTTCCACAAAAATAAACCAATCAAACTGGTTTTCCAAATTTATAAATGAAGATGTATTTTAGTCCCATGTTTTCTTTCTGGAAGTTTGTAAATAGTAAGTGACATGATTTTGCTGAAATGGTCACTATTGCGACAGTGCCCAAAATAAGGGCTTCTTCAAATGCAATATTAAATGTTAACAGCATAATCACCACCAGTTTAATTATGCACTGCAGGTAACATGTGTATTTAGAAATTGTGACTGGCAATGGTGTTCAGGCCCATCACTAGTGGGCTAGATTTAAAGTGCAATTTAAGAGCACAAGTGATCTTACACGATCTTAAAAATTACAGCAGTAGTCTTAAAAAGGACTGAATCTGCTTTTAAGATCAAAAATGATCTAACATCTACTTAAGTGGTCAAGCAGTTTCCTTCCCTCACAATAGGGGATGCCCCCCTCACAATAGAGGACACCTCTGCTCACAATAGGTGAATGTGTAAGGGGAGACAACTTAATTGGCTAGCTGTCAGACTAGAAATGGTCTTACTCATGTTTTAAGACCATGTAAGACTATTTGTGCTCTTAAATTGCACTTTAAGACCAAATCAAGCCCACTAGTGCATGGAACCCCAAAGTCACACCTTGCAAATGCCAAAATAACAAGGGATTAATGAAATGAGTTTATTTCCATTTTCAACACGTTTTTACATAATACAAAATAACCTATTTACTACCACTTTTAAATGGTACATGTAACTAACAAAATTGCTGATATGGGAAAAATATCAATAACTCAAATTAAAATGTGATGGTCATTTTCGAACCTGACCTGTACTTCAATAAGATTGATCACTCCTGTGAGTTTCAAGACAATAGCCCTCTCAGTGTTCCTTGCATTGTGTTAACAGTATTGCATATATGCCGAAAAAGGAAATAAAGATTTAAAACAAGGCAGCAAAGCTGTCAAATGTACAGACAAAAAGCAGAAAATAATAATGCACAAAATAGGATACTTTCAATTCTGATGCAATAATACATTATACTTAACTGGAAAGTCAATATCAAATTTTAATTATGCACAACAGGTAAAAGTAAAATGAAAGTAAAAGCAAATTAAGGCTTCAGGCCCTTGAGAGTTAAAGTTCACACTCAGAAAATACAAGAATGAGAAAAATGAAATTTCACAAAAAATGCATAAATTCAATAAAAAATGATAATCCAGTAGAGCTTGTTTTCTAATTTGAGCTGTATGAAATTCTAAGAATCATTCTTGTAAGTTGAAAAAATAATAAGTTGCACAGTTTTCTTTTCATAACCTTTGTGGCGGCAGTGTACAAAGTAGGTTTTTTGTCAATACTGATGCAATATTACATACCAATTACTGCCAATTTTAATTATCTTCTATTAATTACATGGACATTTAGAAAATTTGATTACCACTGGGCTTCTAAGTCCCACATTGAAAATGCCAAAATGTGAAAAATGAAAATTTCACAAAAATGCACAATGGAAAAGAAGCCTGGAAAAGCTGTATTTTATCCTGTGTTTTTTTCCTGTAAGTTTAAGACAAGTAAGTGACATGTTTTTTCTTTAATGGTCACTATAAAGGCAGTGCTCAAAATAGGGTTTTCTTCAATTTTGATGCAATATTAAATAATGCTTAACAGCATAATGTCCATCAATTTTTAATAATAATAAAAAAAGTATCATGGCTATTCAGAAAATGTGACTTGCAAAGGTCTTCAAGCCAATGGAAGTTCCAATTCAAACTTTGAAAATGCCGATATGTGAAAAATAAAATTTTTGCCAAAAAAAAAAAATGTATAACTCCCAGAAAAATTAACTAATAAGACAGATTTTCCAACTGAAGCTGTATTTTAGTCCTGCTTCCTTCCTGTAAGTATGAGAAGATTAAGTGACATGGTTTCCTTTAATGGTCACTATGGAGGCAGTGCCCAAAATAGGGTTTTCTTAAGCTTTGAAACAATATTTCATTATGCTTAACAGCATGATAACCATTAATTTTTAATAATAAAATAAAAGCATCATGGGATATTCAGAAAATATGACTAGCAAAAGTATTTAAGCCATAGAAGTTCATAGTCATACCTTTAAAATGCCAAAATGTCAACAAGAGATAACTGTGCTGAAAAGAGTTTATTTCCATTTTCAACACCAACTTACATAAAACAAAATGATCAATTTACTGTCATTATTATATATATGATAAACTAAGGACATTGTTGACATAGGAAAAATATCAATAGAACAATTTAAGTTTCCAATCTGATTCATTCTGAACATAGTTAAGGGTTGAACCTGACAAACTGCAATGATATGAGTTTATTTTTATTTTTGACACTTCATTACACACTACACGATAACAGGTTTACTATCATTTTTATACAATCAACT